ATGTGCGGGTCACCTGGGGAGCCTTCAAACACACCACGTGCGCCGGCTGCACCCCAGACTAATTAAATCAGGAGCTCTGGGTGCGGCCCAGCCCTCAGCATTTGTTTAAGCCGCTCCAGGTGGGCAGCTCAGGCTGGAAGCCAGCTGTCCCCGGAAAGCTGGGCCTGCACTGTTGGCCTTGAGAAGCCGAAGGCTCTCCTCTGCAGTCTCCCTTAAGTTCAGCGGTTCTCAACCTGTGGGTCGCGACCCCTTTGGCGGTCGAATGACCCCTTTCACAGGGGGTCGCCTAAGACCATCCTGCATATCAGATATTTACATTATGATTTCATAAACAGGTAGCAAACAATACAATTATGAAAGTAGCAACGAAAAATAATTTTATGGTTGGGGTCACAAACATGAGGAAACTGTATTTTAACGGGGCCAGAAGGTTGAGAACCACTGGTTAAGTTGGACACTTCTGGGCCCCTCATGCCCAGGTCCTCAGAGTATCAGTCACCCGCCCAGTTTCCACGCTGGAGGGAGGGAGCATGATGCTTAGCTCTGCAGTGTGGAGGCTGGAAGCCTGGGCTCCTGCCCTGCAGCGGGAGCAGGAAAGGGGCTCAGTCCCCAGTGCTGCTAGGGGAGGGCGGGGCTGGCAGGAAGGACTGCATCTCTAGAACATGCACACATCCACCAGGGATCCGCTCCGCAGACACTGCTCGTCTGCTAAGGGGAATTTCCTCTGCATCCAGAGCCTACCTGTTAGAATTGCAGACATGTGGCTTCATGTACACCACTGGCCACTTGGAATTCCTCTGCTGGCCCGTCCCCTCCCCCAGCCTGTTGCTCCTGGAGGCGCCTGAGGAGGCAGCTGCCCAGAGATAGGAAATGAAGAGGGTGTCTTTTAGGTCTGCACCGCAGTTCTTTTCTCGGGGGGGGGGGGGGGGGGACACTTTGCATTGTTTTATAATTGCCTAAGTTAAGTATACATGCATTTCTTGTGTAGACCTTTTAAACAGTATCCAAACATACCCGAGTACTATGTGAAATGCCTCTTTCATCTACCCCCAATTCCACTCACCCTCAAATATATCGCAATTACTGGTATTCTGTGCATTTGCATTTATATATGCAACTATATCACATGATCTGGGTGCCTCTGCACCTGGCTTTTTTTCCTCTCAGCATTGCCATTCCCAGGG